TTTTTTTTGTCGGACCTTTTCTCTCAGCATGATCCCAAGAGATGCCTTTCCGGCACAGTCCCTGACAGAGGGTTCAGGGTTTAGGGTGTAGGGTTTAGGGTTTAGGGTTTAGGGTTTAGGAAATATAGGGGCTATATTGGGATTATATAAAGGTTCTATAGGGTTTTTTTTGTAAGGGTTACATAGGGGTTACATAGGGGTATAAAGGGGGTATCTAGGGGTCATATCGGGGTTATACAGGGGTTGTCTAGGGGTTATCTAGGGGCTATATCGAGGTTATATAGGGGTTTTGTAGGGGTTATATACGGTTTAAGGTTTAGGGTTTCCCAAAAGTAGGGGTGCCCTTTACAGGTACCATCATTCCACGAGGAAGATGAGGTCATAAAACTGCCCCTTAAATCTGAGGAATACAGGGCGTAGTGCTCTGATGAACATGAGGAAATAAGGCCGCGAGGGCAAAAAGTTGCTGATTCTGCAGGCCTGAAGATACATTCACCCTACCCTGGGTTGTTGCGAAGAGCTTCTTTTAGCCTATCCTCCACCGATGCCAAGTGTAATCTCGAAGCCTCCGCTTGCCCCCACCCTCGCCCTGACTGCTTAAGTGTTCCATGCTGCAAGGATGAGCTAGAAATGCTGAAATGGATTCAGTTATGCTACAAACCAGGCCCTAAGCCGTTTGCCCCTACAGCTAAGCCTCACGTACCCCTCGTCTGCCTTGCGCTGAAGCTTGATGTACTGTGCCTCGAGCTTCGACGCTTCCTGATCGCCAGACGGAAGCAACAACCCAATTTATCACCTCAAAATCTGAAGGATAGGAGGAATTAGTACTGAACTTCAGCAAGGTCCCTGTGATAGCTTTAAACAGAAGACAAGCAAGATTCGTTCCAGGTGATGATCAGACAGACACGTCACAACAGGGCTCTGTCTGGGGCTAGACATTCAGCGATTATGCAGTCACGTCGCCGCGGAATGATTCCTTCAATCATGCAACCCCTATGCGCAGAAGCCGTAAACTCAGATGGGAAGAGAAGAAAACGAAAGGACATGGACAGTTGGCAGCCTCACAAATGTCGAGGACATGCCCGAATTGATCTACCAAATCCAACGACCACTCACAATCACGGGTACAGAATAAGGTGCTGCTCCTTGATGACCCAAGAACCATGCAGACGTTCTACATGGCTGTGAAGATGCACCTTGTAGAAACTTGTCAAAACAATTGTGCGAAGTCGGTCGAATGCCCTAAATTTCCACTGCAAGATGTTCAACCTGATGTCTTTTTACGTCCTGGACCACGTTGAGTCCTACTTATTCATTGCAATAGTGCAACCACCAACTTCCTTCATCAACTCTTTACATAATCCCTATAAAACATATATCCTTATTCCCTACCAACCCCCAGTGAGCACATCAGTTTTGCATCCAGCCTTGCAATATATACCCGATTATAATGTAATAGTTTCCATGCTCCTTGCATTATCCCTACAGAACCTCAATATAGTCCTTTTTTCTTGCTATCCCTAAACCCTACACCCTAATCCCTAAACCCTAAAACCTAAAGCCCATACATATTCTCTACCAACCCTTTATGCATTCGCCTATTCCCGACTACCTTGCATCCAGCCTTGCTCTTGGCTGCAAGCTCAATGGTGAGACCATCGATCTGCTGGTCTCGAACGGCCCTATCCTTCAGCTCCTGAGAGACTTACTGGCGGTCAGTAGGGAATGTACGACATGCGTGTATATACACACACACACATCGGATTTAGGGTTTAGGGTTTGGGGTTAGTAGGAAGTAAATAAGGGACGAATATACTCCCTATATTTTCCCTATAGAATACATTCCTCATTCCCCACTAAGCCCCAGTAAGGAGAAGCGGCTTTGAGTCATTCAGGGCTTGGTGCTTGAGCATGTGGTTTAACGCGTTGGAGTCATGCAGGCCGCCGTTAGCAAAACAAGGTACTCGCGTCTTTC